AAAAAAAAAAAAAAAAAAATTAAAACAACACAGATTCCATCCCACTCCAGAAAGAATGGCTATCATAAAGAAATCCAATAACAAATGCTGGAAGGGACTGGGAAAAAGGAACCCTTCTCCACTGTTGGTGGGAGTGTAGACTGCTACAACCATTGTGGACATCAGTGGGGAGACTCTTCAGAAAACTAGGATTAGAGGTCTCATTCATCCCAGCTATTCCTCTTCTGGGTATTTTTCCAGAACTGAAAACATATCACAGTGATATATGTGCACCATATGTGTTTATAGCAGGACAAATTGTCATAGCTAGATCTTGGAAACAACCCAAACACCCATCACCTGAGGAATGGATAAAAAAGATGTATTTTTATACAATGGAGTATCATTCAGCTCTAATGAAAGATAAAACTGAGGCTTTTATAGGTAAACGGATGCAACTAGAGGCTATACTTATAAGTGAAATAAATGAGACCCACATGGGTAAACATTGTATTGTCTCCCTAATGTAAGAACCTCAAGGGGCCGGGGAGATAGCTCAGTAGAATAAGTGCTTGCCTGGCAAGCGCAAGGGCTTGAGTTCAATCCCTGGTTCCACCAAAGAAAAAAAGAACCTTAGAGTAAATCTGAAAGGTATAATAGATATAATAAAAGGGAAAGAAACTGAACATAAGGAATAAACAAGATGAGGGAAAAGAGGAAAGGTGGGAAAAGAAGGGGAAAGTTCATGTAAGTTTATACACAAGATAGCTGAGTCTACTACCTGTTTCTATCAGTTTTATTGAAGGTAGCAGTTAATGCTTAAAATTATTACTTTGACCAATTTTATATACAAATATTTGTAATCTGAGCAACTACACTGAAGACAGCAATGTGCAGTGTAACAATCACCATTGAATATCTTTCATTTTGTTTTGACTTTTTCTAGGATTTTGTTTTGTCTTTAAAAAGTATTTTTTTCTTTTCTTTTTGTGTGTGTGTATAGTACCAGGGATCAAACTCAGGACCTTGTGCTTGCCAGGCAAGCACTTATTCCACTGAGCTATCTCCCCAGCCCCCCCAAAAATGCATTATTTCTAATGTCTTGTTTTTATTTTCTCTTTAAAATAAATTAAAAATAAAAGGACAAAAAAAAA